CTGGATGTAGACAAGCTCTTTTTTTAGTACCTATATTCCCTGCAGTACTATAAATACACATTCAGAGGGAACTGATGCCACCGGTATACATAAATATTTCCTAGCTATTATTGGATAACAAAAGAAATTTGTGTTCCACCATGCCAAAGGATTGTATATCTTATATATCTAAGCTAATAGGCTCTAATATCTTGAAATTTCTGCATGAGCCTTTTGGAGATTATTCAAGCACTCAGAAATTTTACCATCAACAGCAGGAAAACTAAAATACTTCCATACAACACTAGTAGCACCAGGTAAAGGCAATATTTCTGTTTCTTTTTGGAGCAGTACTGCTACTAATGATAACATCTTCCATTTTTACAGCTGAACTAACTCATTAAAGTAACCACGTGTTTGATAATGCGCATGCGTACATGTACCACGTGTCAATTGTGATAGTGTTGATTCAACTATCACGATAGTGATAGTAGATTACTATCGCGACCATCGCATATATCGATACTATCGCCCAGCACTAGTAGCAAGTTTGAACTGATTCCAACTTCAATTTTTGAGTTACGGCCATTTTAAGAAAATGCCAAAATTCTGAAAAATACCCAAGGCTATATATAGCCCATGGTTTTTTCCAAAAAATGACTTAAAAATGACACCCAATTTTTATTACATTTTTTGATACATATTGATGTCCTTGTGCTGTGTAGAAAGTTTGAGCTGATTCCGACTTTAATTTTTTGAGTTATGGCCATTTTAAAAATTCCAAAAATCTGCAAAAATACCCAAGGCTATAGCCCATGGTTATAGCCCATGGTTTTTCCCGAAAAATGGCTAAAAAATGACACCCATTTTTTTACATTTTCTGATACATATTGATGTACTTATGCTGTGTAGCAAGTTTGAACTGATTCCGACTTCAATTTTATGAGTTACGGCCATTTTAAGAAAACGCCAAAATTCTGAAAAATACCCAAGGCTATAGCCCATGGTTTTTTCCAAAAAATGACTAAAAAATGACACCCAATTTTTATTACATTTTCTGATACATATTGATGTCCTTATGCTGTGTAGCAAGTTTGAGCTGATTCCAACTTCAATTTTTTTAGTTACGGCCATTTTAAAAAATACCAAAAATCTGAAAAAATCCCTGTACTATAGCCCATGGTTTTTTCCGAAAAATGGCTAAAAAATGACACCCAATTTTTATTACATTTTCTGATACATATTGATGTACTTATGCCATGTAGCAAGTTTGAGTAGATTCCGACTTCAATTTTTCAAGTTACGGCCATTTTAAGAAAATGCCAAAAATCTGAAAAATACCCAAGGCTATAGCCCATGGTTTTTTTCCAAAAAATGGCTAAAAAATGACGCCCAATTTTTATTACATTTTCTGATACATATTGATGTCCTTATGCTGTGTAGCAAGTTTGAGCTGATTCCGACTTCAATTTTTTGAGTTACGGCCATTTTAAAAAATACCAAAAATCTGAAAAAATCCCTATACTATAGCCCATGGTTTTTTTCCGAAAAACGGCTAAAAAATGACACCCAATTTTTATTACATTTTCTGATACATATTGATGTCCTAATGCTGTGTAAAAGGTTTGAGTCAATTCCGAGCTCAAATTTTAAAGTTATAACTTTCAATTGATCTATTTCTTTATTGTGTATTAATTAGAAACTCCAAATTAAGAGAACAATCGGTTGAAGTCCTTCGTGACCTCTTGGCCAGTCATGATTCAGATATCAGATACACCAACTTCAGATCAAGAATATCTTCAATATATCTACCACTACTATCAATTGTAATGGACAACTATCACAGACTTTATAAGGTGGGTGTGGTCTAATAGGTGTGGTCAAAGTAGGTGTGGCTAATTAATGTACATGTACATGTTTTTAGGGTGCTGATGGTTGGGAGAACCTGACAAACACGTTTGACCGGAATACCGAGGTGCGTCGCTCGGTTGTCATTAAGGAAGGAAGTGATGGGTCACTGGAGATTGATGTAAGCCACACCCACCAATCAATGAATAATTAAACTAATTAATAGGACGAGGAGAGTAGGTATGATCAGATACTGGGTCCTGCTAGTACGAGAAACCTTTTAATATGTTTCCTTTGGGTTCTGAAGAACATTGACCCAATGCTTATTAAACACTGGTGGAGTACCCTCTCTATATCAAGGTAGAATGAAATAATATAAAAATGATGTGAAGTTTGTTATTATTATTACTATTATTATTATTATTATTATTATTATTATTATTATTATTATTATTATTATTATTATTATTATTATTATTATTATTATTATTATTATTATTATACTATGTCCCAACTGAGTTTGGACCAAGAAAAACTGGAATAACTTTTTATAGGAATGTGGGATAAGAATGAGACTTTCACAGGTTCTTAGTCGCCAAATGCCGCTTCAGGATCTCAGGTCTTGGGTCTCTCAACCCTTGGGAACCCTGAG